ATTTTTTGTGACAAAAAATGATCGAATATATATTATTTTAATTTTTGTTATTAAATAATTATAAGGTGAATTTTGATTTGAATATTTTAGTAATTTTAAGTATGAAAAAGGTTAGTTTTCAAAGATTTTGAAAGAGAGGTTAGTTTTCAAAACAAAAAAAAAATTTGAGAATATTTTCCCAAATTTCCTCCAAAGGGAATAACACCATTGAACAATTAACTACCTATAATGGTCTCTCTATTATACAAAGAAAACAATTTAATCGGAGATAGATTCTCAAAAGGATTGTATATTAAACTATGCAACTTTACTACCATCAAATAAATTTTGACACAAGAGATCAAAATAGAACATGCATCATAAGGAAAACATTTTATGATAATTCGAGTAGTAGGGCCTTTTGAAATATATTCTAAAATTCTTGTCAAATCTATTTGAAATTTTATGATTTCATATTTGTTAATATCATACATCGAATAATAGTGTACCTAAATTCGCTTTTTCATTACAAACGTAGGCCAAAGTCGTCACTTCTCAAACGAGCTGCTTCAATCTCTTTATCCTCGGTCTTCTCAAAGGTAAGTCTCATCTTCAAACAAAGTTGAGTAGAGCTATCCAACGGCAAAACCGGAGATTTCTTCCAACCCAGTGATAAGAATCGAATTTTTTTTTTTATTGATCAAAGAGGAATTACAATGGATATACTCAAGCTCTCGCAGTTCTATATATTTTCACTCTCAAATCAACTATCCACGTTTCGTCTCTATTAATTCAAATCTTGTTGCAGAGTTTCAATCTTTATATATATTATAACCATAATGTGATTGTGACCTAGTATTAAGTCACATGATTCAAACACACACACACTAAACAAACCACTACCTTATCTTCTGCTCATATAATTAAACAAAAATAGATTCTCAAAGCTTGTTGTATATTACTCACGAACTTTGCGTTTGAATGCATCCTAGTTGATGCATTCATATTTGCTATACGCCTTTTTATTAAGAGTAAAAATGTAAAATATGTGTTGTCAAATGTTTTATTAAGAGCAAAAAAAAAAAATGTGTTGTCAAATGTTGACCGTCAAGTGGACCTGATATATTATATATACGCCTCGAGAGTAAATTTCTGTTTAATCCAAAAAACTGAACAATGAATTTGTAATATAAAGGAGGTCAGAAAGTTTCGTGTATTAGAATTCGAGTTCAGAAGAAGTGTTACAAAGTAGATCGCAGCAGGTAGTCCGAACAGATCTCGGTCTACTAGATTACTGTAAATCAAAGAGAGCGTAGTAGGCCAGACAGATCCGGGCTACGCAGTTCATTGCGACCTAATAAAGATATGTAAACGTTTTCGGTGTTTTCCGGTCGGTGGTGACCTCCCGGCGAGCTCTCTCTCTCTCGGAGTTAGAGACCTGAACAGAGATGCTCTGGGTCCCTTGTACTCTTTCTCAGAGGAATGGAAGATGAATGGTCACATCACATGATTCCTCTATTGATAGTACAAGGTTGAAAGTACATACTAGGTTTTATTAACTGTAGTTACCGAATCTGACTCAGGTTTAACCAGACTGCGGTTACTGTTTGAGTTGGGTTTCCACTGTTCACGGGTCGCAGACCGTTGGATCGTAGAACGTTTGGACCGCAGGTCCAAGCCCAACAATTTTTTGGTTTATAAACTCAAGATGGATTAATGAGTTTATACACAAATTAAGAACCGAACAATGTGTTTTTCTTTTGGGGGTTTATTGTTAATACGATTAAATTTTAACCGGAATGTTTACAAAAGGATGAGTTATTACATGGTTTGGGCTCTGCTCTAGGGAATGAGTTATTACAAAAGGATGAGTTATTATATGGTTTAGACATCCTGGTCATTAAATATGGATGAGTTATTTACCACAGAGCAATAACAAAAGATTGATTTCAAAAGATGATTTTCCTTTAGAAGGCCAAGTAATCTCCCATTTAAAAATCATTCTAACAAAATATTTTGAAAACTAATTTACTAACAAAAAAAATTTCTAGCTAGATGGATCCTTTAATATATATATATATTTAACTTGTTTTTATTGATAGCAGATAAACAAAAATTCGAAATATATATAATCGAAAGTGAAATGTATGGATACATGGTTAAAACCACTCATTCCAAATTGAAACGTAATGGAAAGAGTAAACAAGAAGCACAAAAAATTCTATATATATATATATATATAA